CCACATCCCCCAGGCAGGACCATGTTCCCCAGGCCTCATCCTTCCATGGGACCCACACTAGACACAGCGCCCGGAGCAGTGACCCACGGCCGGCAGCTTTGGTGAGCCACTTTCGACTGATAAGCTTCCAAACTTCCAGCATGGATCTGGGATTCAAGCCTGGGCTCTCTGGCCCTTGGGGCAAAGTGCCACGACCCTCGCCCGATTACCCTGGTCAAGGACAGGCCGGACTGGCCACCACAGGCCTCTTTCCACCTGCAGTCGACTGTTTAGCTCACGGCCTGTCTCTGAAGTACAGTGACCCTGTGAACGTCAGATCGAGACCCTGCCCGGTCCTGCACCCTCCACGCCCTCTCTGCTGTGCGTGAGGCCACTGTACAGGCCCTGTGCCCATCCATCTCGTTGACAGTCTTCCTCTCCCTCGCTGACTCTACTTCCCCAGCATGATGCTGACCAGGGACTGCCCCCTCCTGGCACAAAGCTCCCAGGACGTGAGATGAGGTCTCCCTAGCGTCGTTTCTCAGGAGTGTCCTGGCTGCATGTCTTAGCAAAGACTCTGTGAACAGCCCTCTTCTCTACTCCTTAGCTCGTTTTACCCTCACATCCCTCCCATTCCAGCCTGACTTCGTAAATGAGTTAACACTAATGGGCTGAGGATGTGACCTTCCTGAGGTCTCAATGGACCAAGACAAAGGGCCACTCACTGGGCCTCCTCGTGGCCTCCAGCCCCCTAGCCACCAAAGGAAGTGGTGGGTTTTCTTGAGTGTGGGAGGTCGAAGGACTCCCAAAGAGCCAACCACGTGCCCAAGAGGTGACTCCATGGCTCAAGGGACCTGAATGAGGCACTGGCCCTGAGCGTCACCAGCCACACACAGACTGACGGACACGCCAGGAAGACAGAGCCCTGAGCGTCCCCAGCCACACACAGACTGACGGACACGCTAGGAAGACAGAGCCCTGAGCGTCCCCAGCCACACACAGACTGACTGACACGCCAGGAAGACAGAGCCCTGAGCGACCCCAGCTACACACAGACTGACTGACACACCAGGAAGAAAGCCCTGAGCGTCCCCAGCCACACACAGACTGACTGACATGCCAAGAAGCCGGAGCCCTGGGCGTCCTCAGACCGCCCCGTCCAGCTCCGGAAGCTCTGGGCACCATGGCTGCGTGCAGGCGTGTGCTGGGGCCACTGCTCATCCCAGACCCCACAGAGCAGCGTGCTGTCACTCACAGGTTCCATCCGGACGACAGATACTCAACGGGGCCCAAGCCAGCCACTTTCAGGAACAGCTCCACGCCATAGACTGTGAACAGGAGGAGACGGTCAGCGGTACTACCCGCCACACCCTCTCTCCCTACAGGGCTTGGGCTGCCCCCCTGGGGGGTCTCTGCAGGTCTGTAGCCATAACTGTGGTGCCTGCTCCTGCCCACGTGCTGCTGGGAAACTCAGCAAGGGCAGTGCGTGCGAGAAGAGATGCGTGCGAGAAGAGATACATGGGCCCCTCTCTGCGCCATGGCCCAGCCACTGAGCATGTCCCCTTCTTGGGCCGGGCGCGATGCCCGGTGAGGGGGTGCTGCTGGGTGATATGCCCAGTGAGGGGTTGCTGCAGCAGGCAGATGGCTCGGGGTCAGATCCTACGGAGCGCGTGGCCTGGTGGGAGTGAAGGCAGGTGGATAAATAGAGATAGTACTTTAAACTCAGGCAGCGGGAATAGTGTGCTGGGCAGAGGGAACAGCATGTGCAAAGGAGATGGGACACTTGAGAACACTGTTTCGGAAGGCCACAGCTCTAGTCAGAGGGGACTCTGAGGGGGTAAGCTGGAGGGGCACAGGGAATTATTTATGCTTAATTCTGCTTCCAGGCACTGCCACTGAGTTGATGTGGACTCACAGCCACCCTCCATCAGGCCTCTGAGGCTGTGAATGTTAACAGGAGGAGACCGCCTATCCCTTTCCCTAGGAGCTGCTGGTGGATGCGAACCATTGACCTTTTGGTTAGTGGCATAACATATACTGCTTATATAGGCTTATATAGCACCAGGGCTCCTTACTGTCCATTTCAGAGATGAGCCAGGAGATTGTAAACCGGACATTAGAGACTTACTCGTGAGGAAGACGAGGTAACTCCAGGGCACGTGCTTGGAGAAGAAGTTCCCACCTGCGGGGCGGAGAAGCCGTGTTCAGGTCGCCGCCCGCTGGGCCACCCAGAAGGGGCCAGGCCCAGCGGGGCTCACCTTTCAGCATGAACGTCTCCACCAGGATCCAGATGCCGTTGACGGCCACCACCAGGTCTGCAGGCAGAGAAGACGGGCGGTCTCTGCACAAAGACTGCATGAGCTCGACCCACCAGGGATTTCATGCAGGAAACAGCGAGGCACACACAAGCGTGCCCCTGTCTACTGTGCTTCTCGGGTACTGTGGTTTTTACAAACGGAAGGTCTGCGGCAACCCTGCACCGAGCAAGTCTATAGGCACCATTTTTCCAGCACCAAGGGCTGACGCTGACCTGGTGTCTCGGAATCAAGTTTTGAGGATTCTCTCAAACTTTCAAACATCTTCACCTTGCTCTTGCGCACTTAAAAGACTACGGCAGAGTGCAAGCTTAACTTTGAAACGTGCTAGGTCCCAAAGAGGGAGCTCTGGTGGCCTAGTGGCAAGGAGCTGTGTTGGCAACCCAAAGGCAAGTGGTTTGAATCCACCAGTGACTCCAAGGGAAAAACACGAGGGGTTCCTCCCACGGAGTTTTCCAGCCTCCCAATCCGGATGCAGAGTCACCAGGAGTCAGAACCCACCCCAGGACAGCAAAGGGTTCGAGAAGAAAGCGCCGATGTTCATACTTACACATGAAATACTGGAAGGCCTTGGACTTTACAAGGATATTGATTCCTATTGGAAGAGACAAAATGGTTAAAATCAAGGTTTTCATCTGAAGAGGCACACTCGCACTATGTACTTCCTACGCGGGGGGCTTCCAGAGGGATCAGGGTCCACTAAGGAAAAGTCTGTTTTGAGAACGGCATGCCCACGCCTGTTCAGACTCCCTGCTAGAACTCCACTGACCATAAGTGGCAGAGAGGATGTGGCGAGATAGGAACTCTCGTACACTGTTGGTGGGATTGTACAATGGTACAACCACTCTGGAAGGCAGTTTGGCGTTTCCTCAAAAAAAAAGCTGGACATAAACACTCCCTATGACCCAGCTATTCCACTGCTTGGAATATACCCGGAGAAAATGAGAACTGAGACATAAAGACTCGTCCACCCAGGTTCATAGCAGCGTTATTCACCATCGCAAGAATGAGGAAACAGCCCAAATGCCCGACGGCACAATGGAATGGACTGAGCAATTAACGCTACGTTCACACAATGGAATACTACGCAGCACGCAGGAGCAACGACTTTGTAAATGAGACCTAACATGGGAGGGACTGGGAAGCCTGATGCTGAGTGAACGAACTCAGCCTCATAAAGACAAATACTGTATAAGACCATTACTGCAGAGCGTGTATGAGGATCCAGGGAGGGGAGGCGGTGCTTAAACACAGGGTCACACGATTTCATGGGTGGAGGGAGGGACTGGTAAGGAGAAAGGTTTGGTGAGAAAAAACAGTGTATTTGAATTTTGTAAATACACTGTTGTTGTTGTTGTTATGTGCCGTCGAGTCGCTTGCGACTCATAGCGACCCTATGTACAACAGCCCTAAACTCTGCTCTGTCCTGTGCCAATCGCACTGCCTCTGACACTCCCATCCCAAGTATCCCAGTTACTGAATCAATCCACCTCATAGAGGACCTTACTCTCCTGCGCTGTCCCTCCACCCTCCCAAGCATGATGTCCCTCTTCAAGGACCGGTCTCTCCTCACAACATATCCCAAATATGTTAGACGGAGCCTCAGAATCCTTGCCTCCAAGGAGCTACCCGGTTTAACCCTTTCCAGGACAAATCTGTTTGTTTTCCTAGCAGTCCATGGTATTCTCAATACTTTTCTCCAGCACCATAGCTCAAAGGCATCAATTCTCCTTCTATCTTCCTTGGCATTGTCCAACTCTCTGATGCAAGAGAGACTAGGGAGCTCTGGTGGTCTAGTGGTAAGAAGCTGCACTGCCATTCCAGAGGTACATAGTTCAAATCCACCAGATGCTCTGCTGGAGAAGGAGGGGCAATCTCCTCCTGTACCAGTCAGAACCAATCTGATGGTACACACACAAAAATAATAAAATTTAAACTAAAAAAAAAAAAAAAGGACTAAACTGACTGCAGCTGGTGTGGAGCCAGCCCAGAGGGATGCCAGCAGGACACGTTACCCCCCAAAAGAGTGTATTTCTGTATAAGTGGCAGGTGTGAGGCAGCCCTGCACTGAGCACGTGTCTTGGTGACATTTTCCCAGCACCCTTTGCTCTCTTCATGTCTCTGGGTCCTATTTTCATGCTCCTTCCAGCATCTCAAAGGTCATCATCATGCTATTACATGCTAGCAGATTACAGCAAAGTGACAGCACAACCTTTCTATCTTCTGCGAAACCTAAGAAGTCAAGTGACTCGCTTTACTGTGATATGGACGTCCCTATAGTGTTCTGGGACCGAGCCCACAATATTGCCCAGGTCGGCCCGGATATCCTGTCATACAAGGATAGATGATGAACGTACTTTATTAAATAGTAGACAGTGGATGGCGGAAAATACAGTGTAACGTTATCCTTTTAAAATGCACAGAAGGAAACCAGGAGGAAGAAGCAGTACACGCCCAATTTAACAGCAGTCCGGACTGACGCGCTGACTGGAGAAGCGAGGTTGGGTCTGTCGGAGACGATGAGATTGGCAGGGCAGGGTCCTGAGCTGTTGTGCACAGGCTCGCTGTGAGTCACAGGTGACTCGACGGCACACAACAACAACAACAACAACAACAACAACCCAATCTCTGGGTGTTACACTTTCACTGTCTTGAATTTCAGTACTTGACTTTCTAAGTTTTCTACTATTGCTCTTGTATTTATTTAAGGGGCGGGGGACCCTCACAGAATGTTCTGGCTAGGTCTTAAAGGTTATCCATTCCCTTCTTAGCCCGGCATCTGCTGCCGGCTCTGTCTCTTTTGTGTGTGTGTGTGTGTACCATCAAATCAGATCTGACTGGTACAGGAGGAGATTATCCCTCCTTCCCCGGCAGAGCATCTGGTGGATTCGAACCGTGCGCCTCTGGGATTGTAGTTGCAGCTCCTTGCCACTAGGCCACCAGAGCTCCCCTGGCTCTGTCTCTTTTGGAGGTGTGAGAGAGGAGTACTGAACGTCGCTCGGACTGTCAAAGGAACAAAAGGAATAAGCCTTAGAGAAAGTGCAGTCAGGGTGTTTCTTGGAGGCAAGGATGAAGCTTTGTCTCAGGCTCTGGGCGTGTTGCTGGGAGAGGCTGCTCCGTGGAGAGGGCTATCGTGCTTGGAAAGGTGGATGGTCAGAGGAGAGGAAGACCCTCAACCAGACAGACTGCCGGTGACGCAGCAACGGGCTCAAGTGGGTCTGAGATGGTGAGGACGGCACAGAACAGGGCAGGGGGCAGCTCTGTTGTCTATAGGGTTGCTATGGGTCGTACTTGAGTCTACGGCTCTTAACAACTGTCTCTTTACACATGCAAACTCACACACACACACACATGCTCATTCATCCATGGTCTCTGGCAGCCTCACTCGCGTACCACGGCACCACACGCTGTCAGACCAACTCTACCTTTGAAGATAAGGAACGCCGTCCTGGGCAGCTCATCAAACCAATGCTCCCTGTTTTTTTTTGCCTGGTAAGGAAACAGCACAAAAGAAGGCGTCAGGCCTCCTTCCCTACCTGCCCAGCTAACCTGGGGACCACATAAACACTCGGGCGCCTCAGCAGAGCAGCCAGCGGTCGGAACCTGCCCCGCACCTACGTTGTTTTTATAACCCTCAAAAATAACTCTGCAGGTTGACGGGGTCATTCTCCCAGTCTGCAGGAGAGAGATGGGTCATGGAACACACCAATAACCTGGCTGACGTCCTCAGTGGACTCCCATGTCCCTGTGCTCTTACCCACAATATCTCGCTCAGCTGGAAGGGGCGTGGGGACACGTGCTCTCCCTGAAGTGGACATGGCCCAGATGGGCTGAGCGGTGCTGGGAGGGGAAGGGCTCGCCCCCCGGCCCACTCTGCAGCCCACCCTGCCCCTCACTGGCCTCCCAGGAGCTGTCACCTTCCACTTCAAGGCGGCCACCTCGTAGATGTCGTAGAAGTCCTCCAGGCTGCCAGACAGAACGGAGAGGGAGAGACGTCAGAGCTCGAGCCTCTCACTCGCCTGCCTGTGGCCACTTTTCTGGGGTGACAGCGGGAGAGGAGGGGACCTGCCCTGTGTGCCGGCACCCTCGCAGGCTCCCCTCCCTCCTGGGAGTGCACAGGGCTGGCCTGCCCACCGGGTCCTCACCTGAGCAGAGGCGTCTGGCTCTGGTTCAGGGCCTTGAAGCTAAGGTAGCGTTCCCGCGCGCTCATGCGGGGCTTGTAGAAGCGCATGAGGCCCTCAAACTGCCGGTAGGAGATGCCAGAGGGCCTCTGTGGGGAGGGAAGCTGAGTGTGAGCCTCATGTGGTCCCAGGTGCACATTCAGGGGAGCCTGCTTTGGTTCTCCCAAGGACTGGGCCGCCCCAGCCGTCCAGAGCCCCGGGCCTCGTTCTGGGGCAGCCAGGGAGCCCGGTTTGTGCCCGGCCCCACCGTCCCTACCCGCTGGCTGACGAGCAGGCGGTAGGCGTGCTGGATGGCGGTCCGCTTGTGCAGCAGAAGAGACTTGAACTTGCGCTTCTCAATGTCATTGAAGGTGTCGAACACCACGGCCAGAAGCTGCAAAGGGCAGAGCAGAGAGCTGGTCGGAGGGAGCCCTCCGTGTCCAAGCAGCGGGCTCAGGCTTAAGGAGACCTTCCCCCAGTGTCTGGTGCTGCAGGAAGGCCAGCTCCACAGTCCCACCATCGGAAGGCCCTTTTGTGACAATTCTCTTTCTTCATTTGCATGAAGACAGCCCCAGCCTTCAGCTTCTTGGGTGGCCCTGGCTAGGCAGTTTCACTGGATATTTTTACATTTGAACAACTTTTAAACTATAATTAAAACAAAACAAAACAAAAAACCCCAGCTTCATTTCTGGACTCTTTTGACAATAATACTGCATGGTGGAGTGGACTTGGGGGTAGGGATTGTATAACAATGAAATAATTTTTCTTTTACTTTTCAAAGAGAAGAGCGAATTGGAGGGGAGAGGGTGGGCAGGGAGAAAAGTGCAACAATGAATGAATGGAAATCCAAAGCCTCTGTAAACTTTCATTAAAATTAATAAAAATTTAAAAAGGAGGGGGGGAAAACCCCCTGTGATTTGAGGATGAAGAAAGAGCTAAGATTCAAAGGGGACTTGAAAAGACCCGGTGATAAGAGGCAGAGATTAACAGTAATTGATTCCATATAAAACATAACGTATATGAGTGTACAATGTACATGAACAAAACCTCATGTAAATTTGAGATTGGATAAAACACAAGGTACGTGCATGAAACACAATGTATATGAATGAGCGTACACAAGGCAATAAAAATAAGAGGGGATGGAAACCCAACAAAGAAAGCCCAACTCTGATTTGGGTGAAAACTGGCGAGCTCGCTGGTTTTCCATTTGACAGGTCGCCTGCACTCTGCTTCTCAGGCCTCGCTCTAACAAGCTCCTCCCACTTCCCCTGTGTACTTCCTGTTGCCTTCGGTCCCCTCTGCTGTCCCTTTCTGCCTCCTGGACAAAGGCCACCACCACCCCTGATTTTGTGGGGCTGCCGGTTCATAGGCCCGTGTGCCTCCTGGGGTGGTGGTCATCTCACAAGCCCGTCTATGATCTGGCTGAGACTGGAGTTATGGGGGGATCAATTCTGGGCTTGATGCGTGACTAAGGGCCAGTGGCAGGGGGGCTGTGCAGTTTGACGGGAAGAGGAGCGAGCGGTGGGCAGAGATGCCAGACGCTGTGTCCGCCCTGTGCTCACACCCGCCCGGCCTCTCAGCCGGAAGGGACAGCATTCGGCCAGATGGCCCCTCCCCTGTCCTCTTGTCAGTGTCTCCTGAGCGTGACAGCTGGACAAATAGTCCCAGAAGTTAGGGGAAGCAGGGAGGGCTGCACGCCAGCTGGGAACATCTGGAATTGCGTAACATCAGGCCCGGAAGGGCGCTTCCCAGGCCCGGAAGGACACTTCCCCGCAGTATGTCCAGTCATCAGGACGGGAGGGCGGGGCGGAAGCCCAAACTAGCAACAAATCCGGGGCCTTTAAGGAGAACGTTCATTTTCTGTGTCTCTTTCTAGTGTAATGGATTAACAAACAGTCGTCTACTCGTGATCAGGCTACAATTTAGAGCAGACTATTAACCCACACACATAGGGAGCTGTGGTGGCCTAGTCGTTAAGGAGCTGAGCTGCCAATCTAAAGGCCCGCGGTTCGCATCCAGAGAAAGATGGGCTGTCTCCTCCGTGCAATTTACTGCCTCTGAAAACCTGCCGGAGAGTCAGCTACGGGTCGGTTCTGACCGACGGTACACAATATTAACACACACTGTGGATAGAGAGGAAAGCCTGGCGGCATTGTAGCTAAGACCCAGCCGCCAGCCACAAGTTCAGGAGTCAGCATCCCCCAGTTTGCTCCTCCTCCTGCTCCTAGAAGGACAGAGAGCCCTGGAAACCGGGAGGGGAAGTTCTACCCCACGAGCTAGCGTCTCCTCCTTGGAGACGTGGAATTTTGCAGCACTTCAGGGAGAGACAGTTCCGGTGCACCGCTGGGCCTGCTGCAGTGACCACTGCTCTCCGGCTCTACCAAAAGTCACCTGCGACACCATCAAAGTCTCCACCTGGGGTGCTGCAGGCCTCGCCTCGGGAGTGCACCGAGATGGCAGGGGGGCATTGCTGGGGAGTGGCTGGGCGCCCCCAGACACCTCCTCAGATCGCAGAGTGCACAGGGGGCTGACCTGTCCTTTACCTCCCGGTGTTCCATGACGCTTTCTCTGATGCTCATTCTCGACAAGCTGGCAATGTGCCCTCGGCAGAGGAGTGCAGGAGAAGGCAGGGGTGGAGGGCCGAGCTCGGCCTGACCTTGCCCGGCCCTGTCATTACCCGTGGGCGGGTCACTCTATGAGCCTGACCCGGTTCCTCACCTCTTAACTGAGAATAGAAAGGACACTCCCAGGATTATTGTTAAATCATTTACCCATTGTTCACAAAACACTTTGCACAGTGCCTGGCTGAGGCCTCATAAATCCGTGCTTTTATAGTTATTGTAATACACGCCTGCTCTGAGGGTGGAAATGTTCTGGAGTAACCGTGGCTTTAAACATAGCTCCACGTTAAGCTAAGTGAACTCAGTCTCATCAAGGCAAATACTATGTAAGACCATTATTATAAAAATAGACGGATAACTCGGAAGATGTGCACAGAAGTCTGAAAGGAGAAGGGGAGTGGGACCAAGGCAGCTGAAAATGGGGAGCAGGGGAGTCAGCAGGATGCCAGAGTTTGGTGGGTAATTGGGAGGAGGGTGAGGGAATTAGGAAAGATCAAATGGGGACCTGAAATGAGGGGGTAATTAATAGCAGGTATGGATCAAAGGTGATTAATTTTATAGAACACAGTGTATATATGAATGATTATGTAATGCATAATATAAATGAAGGAATGTGAGAGATATAATGAACATGAATGAAACACAATGTATACAAATCCTGTACACACACCAATATAAAATATTTTTTAAAAAAACCAAAACACCAAAACATAGCTCAACCAGCAGCCTCTTATCTTCTGAAACGCTGCTGAGTGGGTTTGAACCACTAACCCTTAGGTTACTAGTCTAGCACTCAACCCCTTGTGCATGCTGTGATCTGCTTCTGAAAGCCTTGAAAACGCTATGGAGCAGTTCTACTGTGACACGGAGGGTGGTCAGGGGCGAGAACTGGCTGGAAGGTGGCAAGCCTGGAGCAGCCTGGTTACGGCTCAGCCCGCGGCCCCGGGCCTGGTCACTCACCAGGTTCATGATGAAATACAGCTCGATGGACAGGTAGACGATGAAGAAGACGCAGGACCAGGGGTTCCGGGAATATGAGGGCATCATCACATCCGGGAAACTGTACGTGCAGGCGTCACGCTCAGGGCACGTGTCCACCTGTGCCCACTCCTCCCAGGACGCGCCTCAGACCCCCACCCTCAGGGCACAGGTCGTGTCCACCACCTGTGTCCACTCCTCCCAGGACATGCCTCAGACCCCCACCCTCAGGGCACAGGTCGTGTCCACCACCTGTGTCCACTCCTCCCAGGACGCGCCTCAGATCCCCACCCTCAGGGCACAGGTCGTGTCCACCACCTGTGTCCACTCCTCCCAGGACACGCCTCATATATAGACTCCCACCCACTGGACCCTGTGTCTACCTATGCCCATGCTCCTAGGACTTCCCTCATTCTGCTCTTGAGTCTCCACCCTCATCCAGCTGCCCCCCACACCCCTGGATGGCCTGGCTCTCCCCCTCTCAGCCGCACACCAGCATCTCTCTGCTCAGAGGTGGCAAGGGTGCTGGGGCACCAGCAGAGGGCAGAAGCCAAAGCGGAACCCAACGTACTTGGCTGTGGTCAGAAGGACAAACAGACTGACGATGCTGTTCTCCAGGGTGCTGAAGTACTGGAAGGGGGGAAAGGGCGCAGAAGGACACACGGGGGTCAGTGAGAGCCCCCAGCAGCTGGGAAGAGGCTGCAGTGGTCACTTTGAATGGCCTTCCCTCCCTCCTCTGCACCCCAAGGCCCTGTCTCCCCCCAAGGAAGGCCCAAGGCACAGCAGAGGAATGCACAAACTGGGGAGTCTCGGCCTCCACCTTCCTGCACTGCATGATTGTAGAAGCAGACAACTGCCCTGGGGCCTCGGATTCCAGAGAAACTCGGGTTCAAGCCATCGGCTGAGCTCTCCTCTACATGTCCCCAACCCAGCCCCACAGATACCCCTCTCAGGGACAGCAAAGGGGGTTCCCTCCCTCAGATTATGATCGGCAACCAGGCAGGCACCTCCCTCCTCCATGGGGTCTGAGGGAAAAGGCTCGCGTGACAGGAAGAGGCAGGCAAACAGGCTGCTTACTCACCGGGTCTGAAGGATTTGGGGAGAACAAGTAGAAACCTGAAAGGTGATGGGGAGACAGAGGGAAAAGGTTAGGGTCGGGATGGCAAGGCCAGCTTGTCGGAAGGACTGGACGAACAAACGGAGTACTGCAGCAGGCTGTGTGGGGGCAGTGGGGAGTGGTGGGGCCCGCGGCATGCAGATGGACATGAGCTCTGTCTACAAGAGCTGAGTGCTACTTGGCGTGGGGGTGCCGCTGCAGAGCCGCATGGAGAGTGAAAACTGCCCGCCAGCAGTGGGGCAGGTAAACGCCCTTCAGAGGACGGCTCGGGGCACGCCAGTGCAGATGAATGAGCCGTTCTCCAACATCAGCACCAATGAGCATCTCCAAGGGATGGTTCAGAGCACGGCAGTGCCCATGAATGAGCCATTATCCCTCATCAACACCAGTGAGCATCTTCGTGGGATAGTTCAGACCACTCCAGTGCAGATGAATGAGCCCCATCCTCACATCAGCACCAATGAGCATCTCTACAGGATGGTTCAGGGCACGCCAGTGCCCATGAATGAGCCACACCTTCACATCAGCACCAATGAGCATCTCCAAGCATCCATCTCCAAGCATCTCCAAGGGATGGTTCAGAGAACGGCAGTGCCCATGAATGAGCCGTAATCCCTCATCAACACCAGTGAGCATTTTCATGGGATAGTTTAGAGCACGGCAGTGCAGATGAATGAGCTGTACTCCCTCATCAGCACCAACGAGCGTCTCCGTGTGATGGTTCAGAGCACGGCAGTGCAGATGAATGAGCTGTACTCCCTCATCAGCACCAACGAGCATCTCTGTGTGATGGTTCAGAGCACTGCAGTGCGGATGAACGAGCCGCATCCTCACATGAGCACCAATGAGCGTCTCCATGGGATAGAACATGGCAGGGTGGATGAACGAGCCGTACTCTCTCATCAGCACCAATGAGCGTCCCCACGGGATAGAACACGGCAGGGTGGATGAACGAGCCCCCCCCCCCCCCCCACATCAGCACCGGTGACCAGCAGGAACGCAGCGCGGGGCAGGAATGCAGCTCGTGGAGGAATGCTCACACTCGGCCACGGTTTACTCAGCGTGTGGAGTCGGGCCACTTGGTGCTTTAGGGAAAAGCTGTACTTGCAATCCGCCCCCCACTGTACGTCGGACGCTGGGGGCTGTGGGTGTGTATCACGTGCATCACGGCCGACCCTTCTGGACGTCTGAACGTGACAGGACGGGCGTCCCTCCCCCCGGGCTCACCGAGGGTGGCGAAGATGATCATAAAGAACAGCAGCAGCAGCAGGATGTCCATGAAGGGCGGCAGGGACTGGAAGATCTGACGCAGGTTCCTGGGGCGAGGGGTGTGTGTCGTCAGGGGGCGCCCCGGCGGCATGTTCCCTTACCCAGCTCCTGACTCGGACACGGCCACCTCCCCCTGCACGGGGGCTGGGGACACTGGGCTGAGGTTGTTGTGTTTTTTTCTAACGTGGCTGAAGACTCCACTCAGTGCGGGACAGACGTGGGGCAGCTGGCCTAGCTATCAAGCTGCACGTGGGAGGGTGCTCTGTGCGGGCAGAGGTCCCGACGGCCGAATGGGGCCTTCGGAGCCAAGCCCAGCTTCCCTGAAGGGGCTGGAGAGGCGTGGAGCCAGCCAGCCCCGGGACACCTGGCTCTGGGTTTGAGGGCCACTGAGTCGATTCTGACTCCTAGTGACCAGAACTGCCCACAGGGCTTCCAAGACCGCGAGCACTAAAGGAAGCAGTCCCTTCTGTCCTCCAGGGAGTTACTCCTGGGCTCAAACCAACCACGGAACTACCAGGGCTATGCACCAAAACCAAACGTACTGCGCCACCAAGTCAATTCCAGTTCATAGCAACCCGGTCAGACAGAGCGGAAATGCCCCATCCGGTTCCCAAGACTGTCACCTGAACAGAAGCGTCTGGCCTCATCTTTTTCTTGATGAGCGACTGTTGGGTTCAAACCACCGACCTTGAGGTTACCAGCTGAGCTCTTAACTACTGTACCACCGAGCTCCTTCAAGAATAAACCACTGGTCACTACCACCAGCAGTCCCCCAGCCATGAGACGTTTCATCTTCAAACCAACGTCACCCTAGCTGAAGGTGCAGGGTGCGCTCAGCCCGGCACCTGGCCTTGAACCGCTGGCCTCTGCTCTGATTTTGCTTCAGGGATGGCTGCTGTTTGGGGGCAGGAACGTTCTTAGAGAGAAAGGTCAGCTCCCAAAGGCTGCAGGCCGAACGGGAAAGAGCCTGGAGTCGAGTCAGAAACCTTAAACGTCTGTAGGAATAGCATGACCTCGGCTGGCAGAGTGGTTAAGTGTTGGGCTGCTAACCCAAAGCCCAGGGGTTCAAATCCTCAAATCCACCAGCTGACCTTGAGGAGGAAAAAGAAGCCATCTGCTTCTGTCCAGATTTACAGCCTCAGAATCCCACAGGGACAGTTTTACCCCGTCCTGCGGTGTGTCTATGAGTCTTGACTTGACAACAGTGGGTTCGGTTTGCGTCCTCTCAGTGTGGGTCTGCCACAGAGGGTCAGGTCTGCTGCACAGGGGACAGACTACACGGCTAAGGGACCCACCAGCCCGTTCCTCGGGCTCAGAAGATGGGCCGTGACTGTCTCACCTCCGGACGCCACCACAGTACCGACAGTCCACCAGGAAGATGCAGCGCAGGGCCCGGGTCACCCGCACGTGGGACGTCTGCCGGACCAACACCACCGTGGCCTCGATGAACTGGACCACCAGCACGGAGGTCTGCAGCGGAGAGGGCAGCCGTCAGTCCCCCACCAGCCTGAAAGTGTGGGCCCCCAGAGCTCACATCCCTCCTTCCGTCTCTCTCCAAACCTCCCGGCCTAGGACACCCCAAGGCCTCCCAGAAGAGCCTGGATGTGTGGACGCTGAGGGTGACCCTGGGAGAAGAGAGGGTCGGAGGCAAAACCAGCCTCCACATGACCCATCCCCTGGCCACTCTGCTCCCAACCCTGCAGCAGGGAGCTGCCCCTGAGGTCAGCAGCGACGCTCAAGCACCTGGGGGCACTCTGCGGACAAATGTTTGCAGAGGGCCTGGTTCCTGCCTAGAGCATGCCGCAGTGCTGGACAGAGGGGCATGGACGTGGAAGTGAGACACGCCAAGGCCGCATTCCCACCTCGGGGACTCTGCTCCACTCTGTCAGCGTGATGTAAAATCAGGAGTGTGAACCCTGCCCCTCGGAGGTGACGGTGAGGATCCCTGGAGACTGACAGTAACAGCCCTGGGTCAATGTCACCACGCCACCTGAGCCCCGGGGGGAGGCTGGGGCACTGAGAGGACCAGGACTTGGTTTGACCCTCCTCAGTCTGCACTGGGCCCATAAGGAGCTCTGGACTGAACTCAGAGCTTGAGGATGATGGAAGGAAATGCTGTCCGATGGGTGGAGTATGAACACGTCACCTTGACCATGGTCCGTTTGTGCCGGATGAAAGTGTGCAGGCCCAGCCACCGTAACTTCATGCAGAGTTCAAATACAACCACCATCAAGGCAAAGAGCTCCAGGGTCGCATGGACCTGTAGTCAGGGGCATGGAGGACATGTTATCACCACCCTGTGGACAGTCTTCCATCCATGGACCTCACCTTCTCACAGGATATGGACAAGTACACTCATATACACATGTGTGAGTCACACACACACACACACACACACACACACACACTCTCTCTCTCTCTCTCACTAATAACAAAACAAACTGCGCCCGGGGTTTCTAGGGACACAGCAGCCTTGGCAATGATTACACTCCTTTCCCTAGAATCCAAACAACTTTGCTATTCATGAAAGAGATATATTGATCCATACACGTTAGAATTTAGGAGACAAAGTTTAAAAAAAAGAAAAAAAAAGAAAGTTAAGATAAAAATTTACAGCTAAATGAGAACTGAGGCACAAACGGAAACTTGTACACCAATAATCATAGTGTAGTCATAGCTATTCAAGGTTCACAGTTATTAACCATCGCAAGAACATGGAAACAGCTCAGATGTCCAACCACAAACAAATGGATATGAAATATTATGCAGCCAGCAGGAGCAATAACTTTGTAAATTATTATGCTGAGTGAACTAACTCAGTCCCATAAGGACAAATACTGTATAAAACCATTATTGTAGAATGAGTATGAGGATCTGGGTGGGAGAAGGGCGGAAGCTGAGGGGTGAGGATGTATGTGTGTGGGGGGATTAATCATGGGGTCACACAGTTTGATGGGTTAAGGGGTGAGGGAAACGGGAAGGAGCTGTTGTGAAAAACAATGTATTCTAATTTTGTAAATAAACTAGTATATAGTTAGCCTTGTTCCAGGAAGAAGTTTATAAAGTTTACCACGCCCTATAAAATACACTAACTCCATAAAATTCCAAGCCCACAAATGGTGAGTGAATTCTGACAGCCACCCTGTAAGACACAGTAAAACTTCCCTGTAGGGTTTGTTTTTTGTTTTTTTTTTAAAAAAAAAGTTTATTTTATTATTTTTGTGTGTACCATCAAATCAGATCTGACTGGTACAGGAGGAGATTGCCCCTCCTTCTCCAGCACAGCATCTGGTGTATTCCAAGCGCGTACCTCTGGGATTGCAGTGCAGCTTCTTGCCACCAGGCCATCAGAGCTCCCCTGTACGGTTTTTAAGACTGTATCTCTTTACAGAAGCAGACTGCCACACATCACGCATCTCCTGGTGGGTTTGAACTGCTGACCTTTTGGTTAGCCGCTGAACACTTAACCACCAGGGCTTCCCGAAATACACTGAGGAAGCATGAACCTGAGGCCTCAACTTAAGAGCGAGCTTGAAAACAAAACTGAGTGGGAGAAACTGACTTGAAAATCCAAGACCCTGAGAGAAGGGGGCTTTGGAGTGGTTGAAAACCTCGAACTCAGGGCCACTGTATCGGAGGAGGCTGCCCATTGCTCTCCTGCAGAGATGCTTTTGGACTTGAACCACCAGACGTGTGGCCTTCGGGTTAACAGTACAGCTCCCTACAGACTACACCACCAGCGCGTCTCCCTGGCTCTTATTAGGACTACGAGGCCCTTAAATGAGCCCCTCTTTACCGGAGGCCGCCTTCAGCTTCTCAGGAAAAGCCTTTAAAGGGGCATCAAAGCTGACGTGGTCTCTGCCTGATGGAACTCACTGTTCCTTGGGGACAGCAAGGAATGGGAAATGTGACCCAAGTGTGTCTGGAGGCCTCCTGGAGACGAGGAGGGGAAGGGAGGGGAGGAGAAGGGGACAGCGTGACAGGCACAGAGGAGAGCGAGGATAGACCAGCCCAGAATGGCTGGCAGGGAGATGGAGAAGCTGAAGAGGAAAGCAACCAGGTCACCGTGGACCTCGACCCCAGGCTGAGGCAAGTGTGTCCCTAACCGAGACAGTGGGCTGAGACGGAGAGACCCACCTGGACAGATCAGGGGAAAGCTGTAGCACTAATCATAAAAAGACCAAAATTGTTGGTCTGATAGAGCCTGGTGGAACCTTTGAGACTGGGGTCTTAGACACCTTTTAACCTTGGACCTGGCTCAGCCCCAGGGATCAACTTCAGCCAAATCATAAAATAGGCCTAGAAAGTGAACATGAGCAGTGTGAGGATCGTGGTCCACGGTACCTTTGAGCACATGAGACTGAAAGCGTGAAAGAGGAGGACAGAAGGATGAGTGGAAATGGGAAACCCAAGAAGGGAGCAGGAAGGATGCAGTTATACTGTGGGGACATCAGTCAAGGTCACAAAACAAAATGTATGGATTGATGAATGGGAAACTAACTTGCTCTATAAATAAATGTCCACAAATTACCATTCACAGAAGAGGGACCCCACTTTTCCCCAGTTCAGGATACTCCACCTCGCCCTCCCCTATGACTACCCTGTCCATGTCTACTGAGGTCGGATGCACTGTGGTGTAGCTGCCAGACCCCTGTCCACCTGGCCAGGGCACGGTCCCTTGGTCTTTTATGTGGCCAGCAGGAGGCTAACCCACCCCAGAACTGACCAAATGAGCAGGCCTACAGAGCTGCTGGGGGAGCACAGTCACTGCTGGGGGTCCCCAGCCTGGTTTCAGTCACCCTGGCCCAGAGGAGCCCACAGGGAGCGGGGACACTCACGTAGATGCCCAGGCGGAGTGCGGGCACGGCGGGGGCCTCACACAAGGACAGCAGCAGCAGCAGCAGGGCCGTGGACAGCTCCATCAGGTAGAAGAGGTGGTTGTGTGCAAAGAGGTAGGCCGCCAGCGCTTTGGCATTCTTGGGGTGCGTGCAGAACTTGTCGTTATTCTCGCCTTCCTGGGAAAACAAGAGCCACATGGGTGAAGGGGCCAGGAGGGGGGGCAGCGCCACGGCTGAGGGCATGTGGTGGAAGGAGGAGGAGAGGAGGGGGGTAAGAAGGGGAAGGCCAGGGATGGAAGAGGATGGGGCAGTTGTGATCCTCCTTGTAGGCGCCCCCTGGACTGCCAAGACTCCAGAGACTTGCTGCCTCTCACTTAAAAACCTCTCACAGGAATCAGAGAGCAAGGGTCCTCGTTCACTCACACAGAGGCACACTCACACGCGGACACACACTCTCACTCTCTCATCCTCGGTCTCTGAGGTTCCTGCAACTCACAGGTTCTGACAGAAACATGGGCTCCTACCTTCCTCATTCCCCTTCCCTAAAAAGGACTGACAACAACAACAAAAAAACCGACTGACAAGTCACTGCACCTCTCTGAGCCCCGACTTCCTCCACCATCCAGGGGAAAACATTGAGCCCTGTCTGCTGAGTGACAGTTAGGAACACTGGGCCGGCCCTTGGGACAGCAGCAAGCTCCCCACACACATCAGCTAACAGGACAGTTGGTGAGGGAAAGAGAAAGCCCATTAGCACACCCAGTCTGACCTTCAAGGAGCCCCTGGGTGTGCAGTGAGGTAAGAGGCTACCAAACCAAAAAGTCAGTGGTTCAAATCCACCAGCTGCTCCAGGAGAGAAAGCTGTCTGCTTTCGTAAAGACTCACAGCCTTGCAGGTCCTACAGGGCTGCTCCGAGTTGGAATTACGCATCTGCAGTGAATTTGGCTTGGGTTTTAGAGTTAGTCTTTGATTATTATTATTATTATTACTATTTTGTGTGTGTGTGTACCGTCAAATCAGATCTGACTGGTATAGGAGGAGATGGTCCTTTCTTCTCCAGCAGAGCACCTGGTGGATTTGAACCACGCACCTCTGGGATTACAGTGCATCTTACTGCCACTAGGCCACCAGAGCTCGCCTAGAGTTAGTCTTTTAAATAGCATTATGAGCTAAGGCTAATGTGCTCAAGCTGCTAACTGAGGCCACTCTGAGGTGCCCTGGAAGAAAGGCCTGGTGAACTTCTGGTGAGTCAGCCGCTGATAGCCTTACAGAACATGGTTCTACGGTCACACCCGTGGGGCTGCACGCCGCAGCATCAACTCAACCGTCATCGGTTCTTACCTCACTGCCCGTACCATTCCCCAGACGGTAAGTCCTGTTGGAAGCAGGCTTTTTCATCTTTCTATCATCGGGACAGCTGGTGGGTTTGAACCATCAGCCTTTTGAGTAGGAGCCAAACGCCAAAACCACAGTGCCACCAGGGCTCCTCCTGTTGTACCCAGCAGATGCTTAATAAACCAGACCAAGCCTGTCCTCACGCACAGAGAGCCCATGTGTGATGGGACAGAACTGCCCCGTACGCTTTTCCTGGGCTGGGACGTTTATGGAAGTGGATTGCCAGGCCTTTCTTCTGCTGCACCACTGGGCAGGTTCGAAATACTAACGTGTCGTGAGCAGCCAATCTCGACCCACCTGCACCAGCCCAGGGCCTTTGTTAACATCTGGCCACCTTGTAGATTTTCTGGTGGTCCGAGGCGGTCAGAGGCCGCTTTCTCTAGGCCCCAGCTCAGCCCGGAGACTTCTGCAGCTCAGGAGGCTGGAAGCCCCGACCGTGGCTGTGCTCTGCTGGGTAACTCAGCGAGTCAGTTCTCTGAAGCCAAGCCTGTCATCTTGTCAGCAAAATAATGAGAGCAAGACACAGCCTGGGTGGACAGAGGAAGCCTGCTTCTCGGCCGTCAAGTATTGGGCCAGTAGGCAGGCTTGCCCACGTCTTGTGGCCTAGGAATCTTCTAGATAGGATGTTGTTGTTGTTATGTGCTGTTGAGTCACCTGTGACTCATAGCGAACCTATGTACAGCAGCCCTAAGCCCTGCTCTATCCTGTGCCAACCACATTGTCTCCGACACACCTGCCCCCAATACCTCAGTCACTGAATCAATCCATCTGATGGAAGGTCTTCCTCTCCTGCATTGTCCCTCCAGCCTCCCAAGCATGACGTCCCTCTCCAATAGACAGAATGAATAAGGAATAATCACGTCCACCCATGGTCACAACAGAGGCCAGGCTCGAGGCAGCCCCTGACCAGGGCTGTAAACCGGCTTGCTGAGAATTTGCATTTCCACCCCAGGACCACTGAACCAGAATCCGCATGTTCACAAGAATCACTTGGGGAGTGATTCTTATGCACGATCCATTCTGAGAACCGCTGTGGGCCTCAGGAGCCTCTGTGTTAGGCGTCGGGCTGCTCAATGATCGGTCACCAGTTCAAGTCCGCCAATCGACTCAGGGGCAGCGGGAACGAGCGGGTGGCTCTTAGAGGAGGAGGCCTGGTGGCGCTGTGGTCAAGTGCTTGGTAACCAAAAAAAAGCTGGTGCTGAGGACCCGCCACTAATTCTACGGCAGAGAGATGGGGCGGCCTGGGAGCACGGGGCGCGTTCTGCTCTGTCTTCCTTCAAACCCTCACTGCGGTGGAGTCCAGCCCACCTGTAAGGAGCCTCCGCCAGCCTTCTGAGACCAAGAATCTTAAAGGGAGGAGAATGTCCATCTTCATCCCAAGGAGCAGCTGGTGGATTCAAACCACTAACCTGCTGCTTACAAGCCTGACAAGTTACGCACAAATTATCTCAAGGCTCTCTGGGTCTGTGCAAGCTGGAATTAACTCTGGGGAGTGGGTGTTGTTTGGGGCATTAGGGCTACTTCAAACTGGTCTCTGATCCGTAAGCAGCATTAGAATTTGCCTGAGAACTTGTTCCCTCACTCGCTTATTGCCGTCCAATCGGAACCGACTCATAGCTGACCCTCCCGGGGGTTTTCAGAGGCTGTAAATCAGACAGGAGGAGACCGCCCATGTTTCTCCCGTGGAGGAGCTGGTAGGTTTGAACCACTTCCCTTCGGGTTGGCAGCGCAGCTCATAACCCACCAGGCCACCTGGGCTCCCAGGGAACTTGTTAGAAATGCAGGTTCTCGGGAATTTGAGCTCTAGCAAAAGTGTTTATCTAAGTTTGTTAGATACTTTCACCTTTCACCTGTTCCAAGGAAGCCTGATCAATGTTTCCTTGACCTATTGCTCTATTTTCGTACACACAATAAACAGTAAAAGAAACTCAGACACTTTGATTCCCATCCAAAGAAAAATAGCAATAAATTCTTGACATTGATATTTCCAGATTCTATAACAAAAATAAAAAGAAAGAAATGCAGATTCTCAGCAGAAGGATGAACCAGAAATGAGCTGCTCAGAGCGCATGGATAGAGAAGTGAGAAACTCAGGCCTTAACTACAGGACTTGGAATTGCCCAAGAGAGGTGGGGACCAGGTCTTCACCAGAAGGAATGGGGTGAGTCCGAATAACCAGTCACTTGATTCTGAGCCCAGACTCCAAAGGAGAACATGAGCCTTGTATCCTGGCTGCAGCCGTGAGCTGGGTTAGGAAACAGGCGGGAGGGCCCGTTACAGTGCCTAGCTGTCCCCCTCTGCTCCGTGGGGCGGGGTTCAGTGTAGAAAACCAGGGCTGGGTCAAGGCGCCAGGCTCCCCAGGGTGAGCGAGCGGGTGAAAGGGAAAACGTGGGACGAGAGGAAGATGTGGGCCTGGGTCGGGCTCAAGGCAGCAAGTGGCCAATTACTGAGGACAATTACTGTTGTGGGGGCCGGGCCACAGCTCAGCTCTAAGCAGGAGAGGAGAGGCCAGCTCGACCCCAGCTAACGCCAGCCCCCAGAAACACCCATGGACGTTCCGAGGGACCTGGGTTCCACCTGACTTTTACTGTCATTTTTCAGAGTGAGATAGATAGATGGATAGATAGATAGATAGACAGACAGATAGATGTATGATATATATATATATATGATATATGGATATATAAGTGATATATATATACACATTATGTCAGATTATCCAGATATTAGACATGATTATAACATAATCTTCGAGCCAAAAGGATCCAAATTTGATGGTACACACACACAAAATAATAAAATAAAAAAAAAAAAAGACTGTTTTGCTTAATTGTATGTTGTGGCGTTGGTGGGAGGGTCCTGGAATGAAACTAACTGCTCAGGAAGTTATGTGTCGGGCTGCTAACAGAAAGGTCTGTGGTTCGAATCCACTAGCCGCGCTACAGAATGATGAGGCAGTCTGCTCGTCCGCTCTGTGGGATTTGCAATGCTCGAATCGTCACGGAAGCAGCCTGCACCATCACTCGCCCCACAGGGAACCGCCAACCTTTCGGCAAGCAGCCCAACCCTTCATCCACCGCACCACCAGGACTCCTTCACCGAGTCAAAAAACAACACCACCTCAGCGTCATGGGAACTGAACTGACTCAAGAGCCAGCGGGTTTCCGGGAGACGCGGGCCCACCTTTCCCTCCTGCAGCCTCTGGTGGATTCGAACTGCAGAGAGGAGTGGCCTTTGAGTCAGTCTCCCTCCTGTGGCCTTATTTATAAGGTAACGAGATGGTCAAATGACTCCCCCATCCCATCGGTCAGAGATGCTCCCCAGTAATAACACGCAGTGCTGTAGATGGGTGGGGGTGCAGCTCTGTGTGTGAATGTTTTCTTTAAATATGATCACGTGACACCGGTCCTCCGGGATCCCCTTCCCCCCCTGCCCCTCCACAGGGTGGAAGCTGGCAGCCCCGACCAAGAGAGGCTCACCTGGAGGTAGATGGCTGCCTCTTGGTAATTCATCTCCCAGCTGTGTCTGGTGGGGCTCGAGGGGGAGGTCTCGCCCCCTGAGCTCAGGCTGGGCTCCCGGGAGTCGCCGAGGGCACAGCTGCCTCCATCTGCAACGAAGGAGGGAGACAGTGACTTACAAGCCGAGGTCCAGAGGAAAAGGCCCCACTCGCCCCAGTCGCAGGAAGGAAAGTCTGATTAAAGCCTTCCATGCTCGTGCATACGCCTACGACTCGACAGCACTTAATAACATCAACATAGAGAGTGATCAGTCGGCCTAGTGGACAGAAAGTGATGCTACCAAGCCAAAGGTGGGTGACTTTCAATCCGCAGCCCTCAGGCCTGTTTTTCATTGCTTTTGTTGAAACATTCTTCTAGGTCGTAGAGCCCTGGTGCGTCCACTTGCAGTACAGAGGTAACTGGTGGTTGCTGTGAAGCTGAACACTGTGACACTGATGTGTCAAATGCGGTAACGGTTAGCCATGGTGGACAGTGTTGGTGGCGCTCTCTGGTTGAAACAAGCTTGGAAGCAGGAGTGGCATCCACTTCCGTAATAGCTTGCCCCTGGAAACGCTATGAACCTGAAGAGAGGATGAAAGGCACCCAAGCATCGAGGACTTTCGTTCATAGGGTCGCTATGAGTCGCCTACAACTCGACAGTACTTAAAAACAACATACTCATACACTCACAAAATCTTAATATCGTCATCAGAACTGACCCACAAACGACTAGGTTTCTGAGGCTGTAAACCCCGTGGAGGAGGCTGCCCATCTTTCTCCTTAAGAGCAGCTGGTGGATTCGAACCACCAACGAAGTATTATTGCCTTTGGATTAGCACTGCAACCCCCTACGGGCTACGCCATCAGAGCCCTCAGTCTGTGACAACAGGCATAGCAAATCCCAAACCCCACCGCTGCCGAGTCCATTCCAACTCAGAAACGCTCCTTCAGGTTTTTAACACTGGAAATCCCAACAGGAGCGGGCTGCCCATTCTTCTTCCACAGAGAGGCTGGTAGGTTTGAACTGCTGACCTTTCTCAGCTCAACACGTAACATCCTGAGCAGTTAGTTCCATTCCGGGACCCTCCCACCAACGCCACAACTCGCAAGAAAGCAAAACAGAGAGTTTTAGGAAATGTTTGGTTCCCCCATAGAAGGTTACACTCTACTGTGGTCTGTTGTTGTTGTTAAGTGCTGTCGAGTCACAGGCGACTCATAGAGACCCTATGAACGAAAGTCCTGGACACCTCCTGTATACCTTTCATCCTTTCTCCAGGTTCATATGGTTTCCCGAGGCAAGCTATTTCAGAAGTGGATGCCACTCCTGCTTCCAAGCTTGTTTTAATTGGGGAGCTCCACCAAACACTGTCTACCGTGGGTCAAATGCGAGAATGGTTACCCACAGTGGACAGTGTTTGGTGAAGCTCCCCGATTAAAACAAGCTACTGGGGTCTAGGAAGCATATGATAAATGTGTTGCTGTGTCTCGTCAAGTCAGAACCAACCCATAGCTGGCCCTCCAGCAGGTTTTCAGAGACAGTAAACCACTCAGAAGGAGAATACCCACCTTTCTCTCAAGTGGTGGCTGGTGGATTCGAACCGGGTGCCTTTGAGTTGGCAATGCAACTCCTCGCTGAGCCATAAACAGCAGTATGAAAACGTCTGAAATATTGCGAGAAGGGGACTAGAGACACGATACGAGCGTGTGCTATTGGCAAAGCAGCACCAACTGACTTGCCAGGCACAACAAGCCACAGTAAAACAAAGTAAACCTGTAATTAACTTCCTATGAGAGATGTCTGGCACCTTCCCGTAAATCTGTACACGTCTGGCCAAATAAAATACGTCAGTTAGAAACCTCCAGCCTCGCTTTGGAAAGCTTGAGTGCCTTGGAGGAGGGGCTGGGAGACCATCCACAGATGATCCAGCCGCAGGCAGACCTCGTTCTAGTGCGTTTTCGAGAAGCAGAAAGTTGGTGGCAACTTCGGCATCAAGCCAGCCTCCTGGGGCCCTTTCTCGACCAGCAAGGGGCTCATCTGGTGTCACTGTGTCACATTTTGGCCAGTCTCAAGATTTCAAAGAATAGAAACTTTTTCCTAATGTGTTGAGTCGATTACAGGACGGTGGAAGCTTAAGCTTTATTCGCACTGGGAAAGCAAAAACTTCCTCCCTGACGCAGTGCGGTGGTCCTTATCTCCAGACTCGGCTTTACATACAGGCCAGACGAGCGTGCCAAAAAGGATGCTGGCTAGCAGAAAAGCTTCCTCTATCTTAGAAGAAAAAGGCAAGTGCAAAAGATCAAATAGCACAGGCTAAGCTTTTGGGGGTTTTTGAAAAGAGGAAATGAGCAGTTGTTCACGTGTCTGTTGTGCACCATCCACCGGGTTGGAAATGACTCACAGCTGACCCTCTTGTAGGTTTTCACAGGTTATAAATTGCCCTGGAGGAGAACGTCTGTCTTTCTCCCGCAGAGCATCCAGGTGATTTGACACCTTTGGGTTGGCAGTGCGACTCCTTACCACTAAGTCACCAGAGCTCCCATACATATTATAAAAAAAGATTGGTTGTAAAAAAAAAGAAATGTGAGAAGTGACAGGTCTGTAACGTGGACATAACACCAGGAAGGTATGGAGACCTATGAGATCGAAAGGGCAGCATTTGTCCAGGGGTAAAGCTTAGGAGGGAAGAGAGGGGAGAGAAGGAAGAGTGGAAACAAGAATCACAGGGAGCAAGAGGGTAGAGTGCAGTCACATTATGGGGATTGGAAATCCTGCCATGAAACCACAAGCGTATGAATGGCTGGACGGAAAACTGATTTGCTCTATTAAACAGTCACTCGTTCAGAAAGAAGACAAGAGATACAGGAAGGATGGATCAGACCTCAGTGCAACTAGTTCCCAGTCAGGGGTTAGGGAACCGGCGACAGAGGCGACTTTGACTTTTGGATGCATGCTACTATTCTACTGAGTTAAACAGTTAAGACAGCTGCATCTGCCCCCGTGCAGGGTCCATGGCTATATTCCCTGTTTGACACCAAGCCCGGTTCTTCCAGCGACACTGTCCCGTTTGCTGTGGGGAACCCCTCTCCTTTGCTCCAGCTCTGACCACCTCCATCTCTGCCCCTCCTACATGTTCAGGCCCCAAGATCAGCGTCCTCAGCCACCCTGGGCGCAGAGACCAAAGGATTAAAGGTTCAGCCCCACCAGCTGCTCCCTGGGCCGACGCACAGAGCCCCTCCACAGGGAGTCGGAGCCATGGGAGCCCGGGGGGGGGGGCGGTTCTGGACCCCCACATGGCTGCAGGAAAGCCAGCAGGTGGCACAGGAGGAGGTCTGGTTTTTCATGTTCATTATATGGATGTACGGGAGCTGTGGTGGCAGAATGTGCTACATGCTGGGTTACTAACCAAAAGGTCATTGGTTCAAATCCATCAGGAGCTCCTTGGAAGAAGGATGGGCAATCTCCCCTCAGAAATAATTATTGCCTCAAAACTGAAGGAAGGTTTCTATGAGCTGGAAATGGCTTAATGGCAGTAGGTATTTATTCTTATTGTTGTTGTTGGTTGTTAAGTGCTGTATCGCGTTGTAGACGACTCACAGCAACCCTAGGAATGAAAGACCTGAACATGACCTGAACATCATTTCTCCAAGTTCATACAGTTTCCCAAGGCAAGCTATTTCAGAAGTGGATGCCACTCCTGCTTCCAAGCTTGTTTTAATCGGGAAGCTCCACCAAACACTGTCCACCACGGGTAACCGTGATCTCATTTGACACATCAGTGTCACAGTGTTTAGCGTCACAGCAACCACGAGTTACCCCTGTATGGCAAATGGACTGACCAGTGCTATACCACTTAGAATGTTTGACCAAAACAATTAAAACCACGCCTGAGGGCCAATTTTTTATTATTATTCAAATTACCACAGTTTGTTTATCCTCTCCTGTTGATGGATATATGGGTTATTCCAAGTCTGGAGATGTTTCAAATAAAGTTGCCATGTATTTACACACACACACACACACACACACACTCTCTCACTCTCTCTCCACCCCTCTCTTCCTCCTTTTCTCTCTCTTTCACAGCCCTATGTCTCTTGGGTAAATCGCTAGGGTGAAATAGCTGGGTTAGATAGGTATCTGCTTGCCGTTTTAAGAGACTGCCTAAACCGTGACCCCGTCTCGATTACAGCAGCTTTATACAGTCATGCCTCTCAGTGTTGGTGGCTCTCTGACCTGCTGTCCTCTGCCTAGTGCCCCACACAGCACGTAGCTCCGGCCAGCTCAGCTCAGAAAGGACCCAGCCACAAGCCAGAGTCTTCCCTCTGTCCCCACTGTGCTGGCTGCACCCCAGGGTGTCCTGCTGGCCTCCTGACCTTCACGCGCCACTGCAGACACCAGATCCGGCACACAGCAGAGCCCGGGTCACATAAATAAGCGGTGACAGGGCGGCGGGGAGGGGACACAGATGGCAGCAGACATTAGCACCGCGTTCCTAGCTGGCATTAAACAGCAGAGAGTCTGCGTGAGCCCCCCGCCTGGGAGGCGCCCCGTCTGCACCGACACCCCTTCCTCTTCCCAGGATCCCGGCACATGGAGCGAAGGGTCTTCTTCCCCCGCTCCTGACGGCTCCCGTCACCCCACCTACGTCCTTAAGCTCCCCTGCACCAGGTGGCCACAGGTGCCGTGAGAGCGTGCAGGTGTAGTGAGATGCCCCCTCCCCCCCCCCCGCCAAGCCTCAAACAGCAGTGCCCCCTGGAATCCCTGAGGACACGGGGGCGGGGAGAAGGACCAGCCCGAGCTGTCCGGCGGAGGGTTGCCCCAGGGACACACCTGCCTCAGCCCTCACAGGGACCATCAGGTGGGGCTGTCAGTCTTAACTGGAAGAGAGCCTTTCTTCTTCCTCCTGTGGGTCGCCTGGTGGTTTTGAACTGCTGACCATTCAGCTCGCAACACAACATCGAACTCACAGTGCCAGCAGGCTCCGCACACACTGGGCCAAGCCAACAGCTTCCCTCTGTCGTAAGGTCAGTACCGGGGCAGGTGGTCTCTTTTTTCTCCTGCACATCAGTGGGCAGATTCGAACCACTGACCTTCCGCTTAGCAGCTCAACAC